AGAAAAACCTCGGACAATAATGACTAACAAAACAGATGAAGAAGAGGAGGGGAGGGAGAGAAGGAGAGAAAGAGGGAGGAAGAGGGTGGAGATAGAGGGGGAGGGAGGAAGGAGGAGAGAGGGGGGGGGGTAAAAATGACTAAATAATATTCAATGTACTATATTAAGATTTAAATTTGGCAATTGTTGTGTTTACCATATGAAAAATTAAAAAAATTTAATTTATTATCTCTCTGTACACTATTACAGTGCTGGATTGAAACCTGGAGATATAGTGACGCATGCTAATGGTGAGCCGGTGTTGGATTCGAGCAATATTTATAAAATCTTAGAACAACCAGGAACGATAAATTTACAAATTTTAAGAAAAGGGCGAACTTTTTATATACAAGTCGAGCCTGAAGATGTATAATTGGATTTATTAAATAATTTCAATTAGACATTAAAATAAAAAATTAAGGGTTCTTTATATAAAAATAATAATAATAAAAAAGGGTTGAAATAAGAATCAAAATTATAAATAAATAACTTAACCTTGAGCATATAATTAAATAATTTATAGTCATACATACTATTTCTACTTAAAAACTACTTATAAATTAATGCTTAATAGTATATTATGTAATAAGTGCGCGAAGATAACTTTACCGCACTAGCGGCGAACGCTGCGCACGAGTCGCCGCAGGCGACGAGTGCGCTTGCGTTCGATGCAAGTGCGGTAACGTCGCGCACGAATTGCTTACGATATTTTATGCAATTCAGTGAGCAAAGTGTGCCTTCGCGCACTAATTTTAATGTCGAGAAGTTCATTTTACGGGGTTGGTATGCGTGAAGTAGTTCCACAGTGAGTTTCTAATGGAAATTTTTCGGTATTTATAAACTGATATGCAAAAAATGTGGGCGCTATCGTTCACTTCATTATCCACTTCGCGCACGACTAACTACTTCATGCATACCAACCCCATAAAATGAACTTCTCGACATTAAAATTAGTGCGCGAAGGCACACTTTGCGCACAGAATTGCATAAAATTAATTTAAAGATAACCTGTTTCGACTCCTATGTTTGAAATCCTCTTCAGATTTCCAATTGACTTGTTTATGGATAAAATTAATACATATAATAATTTTAAATAACAAAGACTCCTTATGAATCAAATAGAAACTTTGTGAGAAAAGGGCACTAGGAGTCAGGCACAGATAACTTTACGCAAATAATAGCATATAACAAACAAAACTCCTTGATTCTAAAAATGTGCTTTACATGTTTCGGCTCATTTTTTAGCCTTCTTCAGAGACAATTACATATCACATGAAGGAAATGTATTCACAATAATACCGTAAACATTACTGTGTTCAAAAACCGGTCTTTTGAATATTTTGGTCAGTCAGTATCAGATACAGTGAGTCACTATAATTATTAAATAGTATTAATTGAAATATAAAAAAAACCAAACGTCGAATCGAAAAGACTCAGTTACTTTTTCCATAGTGCGGTTTTTCATCCAAAATTGTGACGTTATCCCAATCAAATTCATGGTCCTCCTGTAGCCAGTGTTCCGTTATAACGCTGCGGGTGAACGTGTTCTATCTGATGTGGTTTTTATGTTCCGCGATTCTCGACTTTAATTGTTTGTGCGTTTATCCCACATAACTTACATCGCAATTCTTACAAGAAATTTTATAAACCACTCCAGACTTCTTTTCACGCGGCAAAGGATCTTTATTACACTTTAATATTATACACTCTAAGTGGTGTCATATTATAGTAGTAATAAATTGCGTGAATTTATTACTACTATAATATGACACCTTAAATGATTTATTGTTCAATCTGTTGAACTTCTTAGTAATACCTCTCACGAAAAGGACGAACTTTTTATATATAAGTCGAGCCTGAAGATGTATAATTGGATTTGTTAAATAATTTCAATTAAAAACATTAAAATAAAAAACGAAAGACATAGTGAACCATGAAGGTTTCATTACATCCGAACTATTCTCCTCAACAACTCTCCTCCTGTTTCCTACCATAATAATATTCTTTAAACTATTGTTAATAATCTCAAATATAAATTTTAGTGGATAATCATTCTCTAATAAGACTTTAATTATTAAACAAGAATTATTAAAGTGACATTTAGGATTCGAAAGTAAATCTACTCTATTAACTAAACCCACTATTGAACTTATCTTTTGAGAAACCTCGTTGGTAAGTGTTTTATCTTAAAATTGTGACATACAATTTTCACATATCATTTTATATTTATTTTACATTAATTTTACAGAATTATTGGTTACATATAGTATGTATTATTAATTGTTCATTAACATTGTTATGTTCTAAATTAATTTTATCCACAAAATTTGAAGAGAACTCAAACATAGGATTCAAAACTGCTTATTTTTAAATATTAATTTTAAGCATAAGTAGCTTTTAAGTAGAAATAGTATGTATAATTATAGATTATATGTATGCTTAATTATATGCTCAAGGTTAAGTTATTTATTTATAATTTTGACTCTTATTTCGCCCTTTTTTCATTATTATTGATTAATTTCAATTAAATAAAAAACTAAAAAAATAGATTAATAAAATTGTAAAATTTATAAATCAATTTTTTAATTTTTTATAATGTAATATATATATATATATATATTTTATATCAATTAAACTATACGAGGATCTCGTCTGAAAAGATTTAAGCCTAACATAGAAACAAGTAAATTTTCGGTCAAATTTAATTTTATTTTTCCACATAGTCTCCTTTTAATCTCTCGATACATTTTTTCCAGTGATGCTGCCCCCACCCTTTTAATCCATTCAAATAATACTGAGCGTCTTACTTTGCAGAATAGGCGTCTACGGATGCGATGACCTCGTTCGATGAAAATTTCTGTCCTCTGAGCCAAACTTTAAGTCTAGGAAACAGAAAAAAGTCGCTGGGGGTTAGATCTGGTGAATACGGTGGATGGTCAATTAATTCGCAATTCGTGATTTTTTTCCATAGCGATCGCCAAAGTGTAAGACGGTGCGTTATCTTGATGCAACAGCACTTTCTTCTTTTTCAAATGCGGCCTTTTTTTCTTAATTTCTGCCTTCAGCTTGTCAGGTAATGATGCGTATAGTACGTCCCTGTTATTGTTTTACCTTTTTCAAGATAATCGATCAACACGTCATCCATGACTGTCTCAAAAAACAGTCGCCTTCACCTTTCCCGTCGACAAAACCGTCTTTGCTTTCTTCAGAGCAGGTTCACTCTTCGCAGTCCACTGTTTTGATTGTTCTTTCGTTTCAGGAGTGAAGTGGTGGACCCAAGTTTCATCAACCGTTATTAATCGACGCAAAAAGTCCGACTCGTTTCGCTTAAACTGTTCCAACAGGGCCTTAGAAATGTTCATTCGAATGCGTTTTTGATCCAGAGTGAGCAAGCGCGGCACCCAACGCGCGATTAACTTACGCATGCCTTTTTCTTTAGTCAATATATGACAAACATGTTCTTTGAAAAAATGTATCGATTTAAAAGGAGATTATGTGGAAAAATAAAATTGAATTTGACCGAAAAATTACTTGTTTCTATGTTAGGCTCAAAAATTTTCAGACGACCCTCGTACAATATATAAATTTATAAAAATAAAACAAATAAAGGACTCTTTCTTTAAAAACATTATAAACATGGAAATGGCATTGTAAGAGTCAAACGAAAAGTAAATTAACAAACAATTAATACATATATTCTAAAATGAACTTATAAAATTTACATAAATGTAACGATTAAAAAACAGATGTTAATTACATTACTAGTTTCGACCACCAAATCTGGTCCTCTTCAGATGAAACACTTTACGTTGAAATGTACATAATTATGGAAAAACATCAATACATAAGAAAATCTTGTGCGTAGTTAAATATATAACTGAAAAAACAATAGAATGAACATATATTAATTAAAAGATTATAATCTTAAATTCTAAGAATGAAAATTAACGATGCGCAAAACATACCAAAAAATTTACAAATCTATACGTGAGAATATTAATAATAGTTGGTCCGTGAATCCATATATTTACAAAAATAGTCATAATGATAAATGTCACACAATAAGAAAACAGTAAAAAAAATTTTTTTCCTTTAAAAAAACTTATGTCAGAAATATTACAAAACTATCGAAGTACATCTTGAGATAAAAAGTTATACATGGAACACGTCAAACATCCTCAACGGACCAATTCCGACTAAATAACGACCGGCAACAACTGATACAGAAAGATCAAATTTTGTTTACAATGGGTATATATGCTTCATGAAGACCTTCCGTGTCGGTTTGTAAGTTTAGACTACGTTTCTGTTTTTTAATATTTAACATTTCTGAGACCAATCGCTTCCTGTAACAAGGTTCCTCATCAAGAATTTCAACATCGTCCCACCGAAAGTCATGATTATACTCCAATCTGTGATCAGTTATTACCGATCTGGTAGAACTATTATGATTTATATGATTACGGTGTTCTTTAATTCTTGTTTTTAACTGTCTGCTGGTTTGCCCCACATAAGAAGCATCGCAATCGTTACACTGAATTTTATAAACGACGTTACTCTTAGATGTGTGGAGACGTGAGTCCTTTTGCACCTTAATGTATTTTTTCATTTTGTTCGGACTACGAAAAGAAACTCTGACAACACTCCTATCAAATCTCTTAAATTTCTCCGCGTGGATCGGAATGAAAGGCACCGTAAGCCAAGATGGACATGCATTATTATTATTAACAATCTGTGTATGAGCGTGATCTTTATGGTTCTTTAATAGATGCTTTATTCTGAGGTTGACAGAATCAAAGATAAAATCCAAAGGATAATCATTATCCAGTAAAATATCAATGATAAGAGTTAGATTTCTTTTATGAAATCCAAAATCAGAGAGTAAAAAAGCTCTGTCAACCAAAGAAAACACAACACCCCTCTTTTGAGATATAGGATGATTGGAGAGAAAATTTAAGAATCTACCAGAAAAGTTGTTTTGTGGGTTTGCGGTACCAATAAAAAATAAATGTATTATTAATTTTAGAAATAGTGGTATCTAAAAAGTTCAACTTATCTCCTCCTATTTCCAGTGTGAACTGAAGTCGAGGATGAAAAGAATTAAAAGCTTGAAAAAGAGTATCAATTTTCTCCGCTAAGATTGCCATACAAACGTCATCCACATATCTAAAATAAAAAAGAAGGTCACCTCTGAATGGTGGCAAGGTCACAGTCTCCAATCTCCTCATCACCAAATCAGCGATAATAGGTGACAAAGGTGAACCCATGGGTGTGCCAAAATACTGTCTATATGTCTTGTTATCAAAAACAAAAAAAGTTGATTCTAAAACAAATTTAATCGCTTTCTGAAATTCTTCCCTTGGCAATGGACAACCTCTCGAAATGTAACACCACTGTTCATCAATACAATCCAACGCAATATCGATAGGAACATTGGTGAACAGTGAAACCACATCCAAAGAAATCAATTCAAAACCATCTGCATTATTAAAACACTTCAATTTTTCAATTAACTTAAAACTATTTTTAATATTACTATCTGCCACAGGAATTGTTTCATAAAGAATTTCATGTAAAAAGGAAGCCAAAGAATGCAATGGACTCCCTATTGAAGAGACTATAATTCTTAATGGACAATCTGGTTTATGGATCTTTGGCAACCCATAGGCTCTCGGAAGCATACCATCACTGCAATACAATTTTCTATATTCAGAACCATCTATATAATCTTTGTTCTTCCATTCAGTCAGCATTACTCTTAAAGATGATGTAAGTTTTTTCGTAGGATCTTTTTTGATAATCTCGTATGTGTTACTGTCGCTAAATAATGAATTCATATTAGAAACATAAACATCTTTGTCAAGTGCGACAGTAACATTACCTTTATCTGCGTGAGTGTAAATCACATTAGGATGTTTCTTTATAAAGTCTACAGTATGAGATTCAAGTTCAGATAATTTTTTGGTTGTTGGTGATGTAAATTTTGGAGCAGAAACTATGTTATTTAGGATAGGTATAGAATGGTTGGTGATGTCCATCCTTCTAGTAATTGGCATTTTCAGAACACTATTTTCAATACCCTTAATACATTCAAAAACAATTTTAGTCCTGTTATTAAAAGGAAGAGCAAAATTTTCGCCTAACTGCAAAAAACACATGACGTTATAAGGGATATCGACAGAAGAAAGGTTCACAAATAATATAAATTTATTTTATTAAATTTTTTTCTTCGAAAATGTATATTGTATAGTTTGTTGACATCGTTAGTGCCTTTAATGTGTTCCGAATATACTGTCGAGTTTTAATATAAAAATGGTACTACAATAAAAAAGATAGACAAGAATTACGTTTATTATTTAGTGCATCTAATATCTGGTGAGTTGGTTCATCAGTCACATCATGGAGTCTCCAGTATACACGCCTTTTGGTTGTACATGCATTTTAATTTAAATATGATAAAGGATCACTTAGCGATTTATTCAATTTATCATATGAGAAAGCGTTAATTTATCCGTTTATCTACTTTATTTACCGCCGCGAAGAGCGATGTCATGTCGCGTTGATAATCATGTCAAATTCTGTGCTGTGATATGCATACGCGCAAATGCTAATCTTATGTATATGTATTTGCGCGTGTACATACACGCGTGTATTCGTGAAAGCGAATGAATAAATGCATATGCACGCTGGGTGTGGTCCACCAACTCGACTGCATTATGTTTATGTTGTTTACGGCGTAAGGCGACCTCCGCAAGTATGTGGTTGGGTCTCACCGGCGATCGTCACGACGAAGTGCGTGAGTGTGGTTTCACACATGGGGCTGCATGGGGCTTCCACCGGTAACGATTTTTCTGCGGGATGATTTTATTGTCCGTGGACTCGTGCATCTTGTTGGAATTTTAAATGATCATCCCATCGAGACATAACGCCAAACGTCTGCAAAGGATTGGTGAAAGGAGAGGAAGAGGTGGCGACTTGACGATCCTCTTCGCACAGATTTGAGAAATGTCGTTGAGACATGTTTGTGATCTTGTATACAATGATAAATAGCGATTAACTTAACCTTGATAAGATGATAAGAATAGGAACAGCGTGTTCAAAGATTAAAAGGTACATCCTTTTGAAATAATTTTTTACTGATAAAAGTAGCGTATTCATTACTAATTTTTAAGTTATTAAAAAGAAATTTTAAACTTTAAAAACTCATTAAAAATTTGTTTTATACTTCTAGTAAAACAATGAAAAAATTAATGATAATCGTGCACTATTTGTTTATATTAGGTGTACAAATTAATTCTCGGTCTTTTTTGATCAATTTTGACATTTATTTATAAAAACATGAATACAAACTCAATCTTCAAAGTAATCTCCCTTGCTATCTATACACTTTTTCTATTTCTCAGGCAATTGCCGGATTCCAGAACGGAAAAATTATGGTGGCTTTGAATTAATGAATTCATCGAGGCTTTTTTTGACCTCTTGAACTGACTTGAATCGAGAATCAGTTAGATAATGTTGTAGGGCTCGAAATAAGTGATAATCCGAAGGGGCTAAGTTTGGAGAATACGCTGCATGAGGGATAATTTCTCAGTCTAAATCGGAGATGGTTTCCAGAGTGTTTTTTGCTGTATGGGGTCGGGCGTTATCCTGCAGCAGTATCACCTTCCTTCTTCCACTGCCAGTAAATGGCCTTTTTTCTTCAAGAGCGTCATTTACATGAATCAATTGTTGCAATAGAGTTCAATAGTCACGGTTTGATCTTGTCGGAGCAACTCATATTGGATCACTCCCTTCTAATCTCACCAAATGCATAGCAATATCTTTTTTGCATGCTGGGTTTTGCAATGTTCGTTGACGATTTACTTGGACGGACCTATGATTTTCGCCTCTTAAGATTCTCGTACAATATCCACTTTTCATCACAAGTAACAATTTTGTGTAAAAATTCTTTTTCTTGAACCTAAAGAGCAAGGAGAGAGCAGTATCGTGGCGTCTGCTTTTGTTTTCGACAGCTCATGAGCGACCCATCGTGGTTTCTTGCGAATCCTCCCCAGCTGTTTTTGGATACGATAGGAAACGTCTTGCTGGATTACTCCAAGCGTATTTGCAAGTTCTAATTGCGTTTGGCAAGAATTCTCTCAAAATTTCCTCCAACTCCACATCTTCCACTTTTTTTGGTTGACCAGGGCGTTCACGATCCTCAAGGTCGAAATTTTTCTCTCGAAACTGTTGAAACCATTTTACATGTACTGTACGATACAGCATTTTCGCCCAAAGCCGAACAAATAATTTCTTTTGCTTCTGCGTTTTTTTTTTAAGATAAAACGCGAAAAGAAGGCCGTTAAATGTTATTGTTCGAACGACATCGTGTTTACTGTTGATTCTTCAAGTTATGTTCACAGGAGGAGTATTATATTTCATTTTGAAGCTAAAAAATGGTACTTCAAAATTACTACAGAGAGGGAGGGGGAGTTCAACTTAAACGTTCTGAGGTCGCTAAAAGGTAGGGGCCGAAAATTAATTTGTACACCTAATAAAAAATATTCATAATTTTGAATAAGTTAAACAAACATTTTAATTTGAAGATTAAAAATTGAAGTTTTTAATTTTTATGCTTGACATTTATAAAGTGAAAGAATTAAGAGATAGCATTTAATTGAAGAAAAAATGAAAAATAATCAATTTCTGACGACAAATGTTGTTTCTTTAGAATACAAATTTCTTATTGAATATTAAGGCGATGCTGGACCCGCCTGTATTATCGATAAAACAAGCGTTTTTGACGTTTTCGTTCCTGTCTAACCTTTTCGCAGTAGTTTCACAGAATAAAGAAATCTATGATTTCATACTTTTTCCACAATATACACCAGGGCCAGGTACATTAGCTCGGATATTTTAATCGTGGAGAAGGAATTTTTATTCTGTGAGACTACTGCGAAGAGGTTCGACAGGAACGAAAACGTCAAAAACGACGTGTTATCGACCTCGATCAAGTTCGGCCGTTACTCCAGCATCCCCTTAAGTGAAGAAGGATAATTTATTATATATGCATAAGTAATTCTTCTTTCGACATTTGGAATTGTTGAACACAGATGTACGCTCCAGACCAAAAGTTTGGAAACACTTTTTCGTATTTTTGAAATATCCTACAATGCATTTTTTTTTTATAAATTCACAATAATTCTTCAAATAACAGTTACTGGATCTAAAGAATTATTGTTATAAAAACACATCATTACAGATATTTTAATGAGTAATCCTAAAAATATTAAAAAAAAAATTTTCGAACTTTTGATCTGGAGTGTACATAATTTACTCATATTACAATAATTTCACAACGATGAGATCATAAATTTCTACATATGTTGTTGCAACAAAAAAAATAAGAGCGAGAGAGTGAGGGGGGAGGAAGAAAGAAAAATAAGAGCCCCGTCGGTGCGTTACTTTGAAGTTACGTTGAATCGCGAAGGGTTAAGGAAATAAGAGCCTTGACCTACGGTGTGCAGCATGGAGGAGAGAGTAGTGCGGAGCAAGCGCGAGCAATCGAGTATTTCTACCGACTGTGTTCACGACTATTATTGTCTCTCGTCCCCTTTGCCCTTGATGGGGTATGCGATCTCCTTTTTCTCTTATTCTCCGTTGTCGTTTTTTTTCCTCGCCGTCTTCTTCGTCTTCCCAGCCTTCGGTATTCACGCCGACATGCGGGAGCCTATTCTCTGATTATCCACGCTTTCGCGGACTATCCTCTCGCCTACGGATACCAACGCCTCGGTATTTCTCACCCACATGTGATGCTGCTGCAGTCGCTAGCGGTAAATAGAGAATGAATCCTGCGAACGAGATATCCCGAAGATCCGCGCCCGCACGGTCTTGTCGTGTTTGCAAGATTCGCGCGGACGATGACCGGAAGCGAGAACAACCACCTGAAAGGTCACGGCCCGTCGTTTAGCTCGCCCGCACTTGGACTTACTCGCAACACGCAAGGCGTGTCTCGTCGGATTAGTCCCACAAAACGGTGCCTGAGAAGAATGAGGAAGCGGGATGTTTAGATATTGACAAACAAATGCGTCGCGTCTTGTGAGAATTCTGCACGGGACATTCTCAAGAGAGAGTCCATGCAGCATCCGGGTTGGAAGACGCGGCGAAATTCTTTGGTTGAATCGACGCCGCGATCGCTCTCTTAAAAGTTAAGCATGTATAAGGAATCTCACGCCGATATTAAAAGTCGACTCTAAATCGGTAGTGTCGACGCGCATATGTGCGCTTGGGCGTGAATTAAATGTCGTCGCCCCCGTGGCTGTTTGAATAAAATAATACGCAAGTAACTGACCATCGTATTATGGAAGTTGTATTTCCTGCTTATCGTAACGTTCCCCCATTTATATCGCATTTACGCGCTAGACGAAAAAATGTACACGAGTACCATAGTCCATTGTGCTAAGATTGAACGTGATATTCCGCGGATACTATACCCGCCCACGTTTCCTTTGATTTTTCATTTCGATAATACAGCCGATGAACAGAAGAATGAGAAATCTTTTCCTTTATGTTCGGAATCGAGGTACTTGATTGCGAGATACGAATCTCATTAAGTAACGATTTCAGCGTTCAGGAAAGCATCAACCAGAAAACAGAATTAGTTAAATTACATACCTGCATGTAAAAGATCTCAGGTTTTTTTTTCAATCTTGAAATTATTAAGCGAGATATTTTTTCTGGAATTTTAGAAATGGGATTCGTTTTATGCTTTTTTTTCTCTTTTTATGTAATAATGTTTATTTTTATATAATTCTTATTAAAAAATACATAAGAATTTAATCACTTTCCTCGATTTTACAATTTTGTCTCGATATTTCGTTCTTAAAATTTTGGTTTTATGAAGATTTATAATTGATAAAGTTAATAAAAATATTCATATTAATTTATTATTTTTTACTTATTTATTTAAGAATAAATTTATTTTCGTACTTTTTAATTTTTTTAATTAGACAGTTTTATTTTGAACTTTATCCTTTTTTACAATATTTACATGTATATC